AGAGAAATGCTTTCAAACTGCTAGCTTGGCAGAAGCTGGGACAAGTAATGGGAGCTCACTCAGTTACGCGGCGCTAGGGATTCAAACTGCCGACCTTTCTGATTGTCAAGCACAGCGTCTTAGCCACCACGTCCCTAATTTACCTATATCTGGGGATATAGGAACTGTTTCATTTGTTCACTTCTGAAACTGCCCCTACTCCCATGCACACTCTTTAGAAGGCGTGCAAGCCTCATATTTGAAACCATTTCTCTCTCTTCTTATTTCTTTTTCTGGTAGTATAATATTTTGGGTACGGAAGAACTGTTGTAGCTTATCTCTGATTTACGCAGAGGAGCAGTTTATACAATGTTAAAACTTTACAGGAATAACTTTGTAGGAACTGATTACATAAGATGCAAATTGTTTTGGCTTAGGGATACAAATGTCATAATTGTTAACACATTGCTAGTTGATTTTCTCATGGAGGCCACCAAGTTCTCTCTTTTATATATCCTGATCTTGTTGATTTCCTTGCCCTTCCATCTTTCAATTTCTCTGAGGTTTTTTTCGCTCTGCATTCCTTACATTTTCAGTCCTGCCATAATGATAAGAAAATGCTCGGTTATTTCTTTACTTCTCTGCTAACATAGCAGTATTCTTTCTTCACGATCTCAAAGAACTAGTATCCTATTTAAGAAGAGTAGCTTTTACCCTCAAGTAATTACCTGAAGGGTGGCGATTCTGTTCACAGACTAGAGGTAGATAGTTTTGAAAGGATGCTGACTATGGGGAAAGGCTATTTTTCTGTTGTTGCAGATAAGGACTCCAGAAACATCATACCATGGATGGAGACCCTGGATTTTTCTGGAGTTCTAATTCATTGAAACAGAAATGATGGCCATAACTTTGTATTAAGATTGTGTTGCCATTTGGATTACAAGCTTCGAAGTAGCTTTCAAGTAGCATGTTAATTCTAGAACAGTGGTCCCCAACCTTTCTGGCACCAGGAGCCTGTTTTGTGGAAGACCCAGGGCGGAGGGGGGGGAAAATATTTTTGCACACAACGTAGATCCCGTGCATAGGTAGATGAAGCTTTGGTCACTTGCCCACTGCTTGCGCAGCTCAGTTCCATGCAGGCCAAGGACCCAGTACCTGTTCATGGCCCAGGGGTTGGGGATCCCTGTTCTAGAATGCTCTGCTGTCACCATCTTAACTTAAATATATTCCTGGGATTGCATAGCTATTCTGGCAAGCTCAAAGTGCAGCACATCTTTGGTTTGTTCCCTTTCCCATCATATCACAGTTTTCTTCATACATGAAGAGCAAAGATTTTTTTTCCCCTTTCACATTCCGCCCAGTTTTATTTTTTCCCTACTAACAGTATATCTCTTTCAATTTCATTTCAACCATCCATTTCCCTGCCCCAATGCAATAAAAACTATCCATCATAATTTTATTGCATTTATTAATAAAGTTGTACAGTACTTTCATAAAAAAAAAAAAAGGCTTCAGAACAACTATCTACAACTGGTGTGGTAGCCATGAAAATTCATATTTTCCAAAGATTCTGAAAATAGAAGTGATAGTTTTAAAAGAATTGCAGATGGATGCCACATCACATGGTCCAATCAGTACAGCTGGCAGTCACCTGTTACAATCACCTTGGTTCCCACAGGAAAACTTTTTTATTTTGACTGTAAGTTGGGCTATCTACTCCCCCCCCTTCCTTCTCCGTGACCCGTCAAAACCGCGGTCCACAAAAGCGCGATCGACGAAAGCGCATATTTGACGTCATCACAGTGCGACGAAAAAAATTAAAAATTGAAATAAAAATAAAATTAAAGCAAGTCGATTCACATAAAGGTAAGGGTTAGGGTTAGGTTAAGGGTTAGGGTTAGGTTTAGAGCGTTAGGGTTATGTTTAGCGTTACGTTAAAGGTTAGCGTTAGGTTTAGCGTTAGGTTTAGGGTTAGATTTAGGCTTAGGTTAAGGGTTAGGTTTAGGGTTAGGTTTGGGGGGGGTTAGGGTAAGGTTTTCGCTTTATTTTTACATTTTTCGATCACAGCGCGATGTTTTCGTCGCGCTGTGATGACATCAAATGCGCGCTTTCGTCGACCGCGATTTTGTTGTCCGCAGTTTTGTGGTGGAACCTCCTTCTCAGGCTTCATGACAATTTTGAGGCAGCACAAGATGGGTTCAGCCAAGTTCACTTCAGAGTTGACAAATTATTTCTTACACTTCATCCTTAAAGCATCTATAATAAGTTTTTATAGTATGATAGTAACAAATAAGTTTTCTCCATAAATTTATAGCCTATAAAGCTGTGATACTAGAGAAAAAAACAGGATAGAAAGAAAAAGAATGTAAAGTATTATATTCTGATTGATAAGTACGTACTTTATCTCCCTCTAGTGACTGGTTAATACAGGTGCCTTCACAAATAAATCCTTTAGCTCAGTACAGTTATTAAATCAATAAAATGTATTGCTAAAATCTTCTTAACTTAAAGTGCAATTATACTGAAGCATTGTAATTGTAATTTGAATTTGAAAAAGATTTAACTGATGCCCACTGTAATTATAGCTACCTGGTTGTGATTTGTGATATTTCAAAAAAGCAAAATAAAGTGTTTTTGCTGTTTTCTAATTTTTGCTTCTGAAGTTATGGGAAATAGTTTGGATTAAAACTGGAAACAATTGAGAAGGATGGAATCCAATTCAAAAGCAAAGCAATTAAACATAATATTTAAAAAGAAATCAATTAAGCATACAATTTGATAATGTTTCTGCTTTTTGTCCTCAATTTAGGTTGAAAAAAAAATAGAAATGGAACCAAAGATGGAAGTAATAAGGAAAAATATGAAGGGATTATTTTTGGTGGATCAAAAGTGTCTGAAAAAATTTACAATTCCTAAAAAACCTCCTGATAAAGGTACAGTAAACAAAGCAACACACACAGTTCCATTTATAAACTATATTATGGTATGATGTATCATGATCTGAGTTGGCCAATGTTAAGAAAATTAATCTTTATAGCAGAAATTGTGCCATGTTTAGATATACTATACTAATCCTCATTTAGCAACTGCCTCAGACAGTGACCATTTGCAATTATGATGGCCTGTTCATCATGACAATCATTTAGTACGTGTGGTCCTTTTGGACCTGTCCCTCCCCCCCCACATCCATAGAGTGGAGAAATGGCCTAAAGAAGCACTCTCTTTTTGAGCAGCTTTTTTCTGCAGTACAGGTAGTTCCTTGACTTACAGCCATTAGTTTAGTAACTATTTGAGGTACAGTGGCACTGAAAAAAATGGCATGACCATTTTTCACATGACTGTTGCAACATTCATATGGTCATATGATCAAAATTTGGATGCTTAGTTTTGCATCTTGGAGCGAAGGGAAGGGACGCGACAAGCGGGTATGCAAAACAACAACCTTTATTGAGAACAGAGTGACTAC